ATATTCTGTCATTCTTTACTTGTGTTGAACACAAAAGAGTAAATTTACAGTTTTGAAGGAACTACCCCTCTAAACTTTTACTGAAATGAAATTTAATTTGGGCAATGCGGTGATGCAGTGGGTAGCACGCTCTGCTATATTCGTGTGTTTGTGTGTGTGTGTGTATATGTGTACAGGGCTGGGCATTTTTTCACTTTTTACGATTAATTCGAATTTACGTTTTAAGACGATAATTTTATATTAAATCGAGATATCGCAATTTTTTTTATAAAAACATTAGATACATTATAATTGCACCAATATGCTTTGGTTCAAACTTTTGGTTCTCTGTATTACTCTGCCTGACTGCCTATCTGGGTTTCAATCATGGCAGTGATGGACTGAACACAGAGACTGGACAGCCTAATTTAACCCTTTGTATGAAGTTGTAGGCATTCATCACAGAGCTGGTGCAAGGGGGGGTTGGGGGGGGGGGGGGGGGGGTTAGAGTAAATATATTATTTTATATTAGACACACATCAGGTGCTTTTATTTGCTCCTGCTATACGTCCACAACTTAACGCATTTTGTTAAACTAGGCTTTGCAGTTTCCATGTTCAGTACATTACTTCCACTGTATCTTTTTAAGAAAAAAGGCAGCTAGATATTTTTATTTGCCTTATCGCCCAGCCCTAATATCTATATATATATATATATATATAACGGAATGTAACACAATCACTACCAGATTACTGTTGTGTTTGTAATATACATATCACAAACACAACAGTAATCTGTTAGTGATTGTTTTGCTTTGGCTTTTTATTATCAAAATTATTATATAATATTATCGAAAATACTGTGAAGAATTCCTTGCTCTGTTAAAAATAACTTGGGAAATATCTGAAAAAGAAAAAAAAATACAGGAGGGCTAATAATTCTGACTTTAACTGTATATGAGCAGAACATAAACTTGCATATAACATCAACACTGTCCACAATTATAAACAAACATATAATACAGAATCACACAATACCACAGTGAGCTATTAAACCTGACGTTTTTCACCAAAAGCTTTTGTTTTCATGCTTATCATCTGCTGAGTCCTCTGTGGGTCATTCCTATAGGCCGCTGTGTAGCGTTCAGCGTGTATTTTTACCAATGTATGGGGGTGGATAAAGTCACATTTAAAACAAAAACAGCTCCCTGTGGTACAAGCTAGCTGTTGTTAACATAGCTACATACACTGATAAAGAGTTCAGTGGAAGGACACAGTGCTCCACGTCTGTCACATTGTATTTGGATAGTTCTCAATAAACAGAAAAGTTTGTGATTAACTGTGATTAACTGTGCTTAAAGGTAACGTGCTAAAAAAAATGACTATGAAGCAACATTTACCTTCAGTCAGCCACATATGTGAAGGTTTTATTTAGACTTCACAGATCGGGGTTATTTTCTGACTGTCTAGGGTATAATGAGTTTACAGTTTATTCATAGGGGAAATAAGTGTTGTTTTCTTAGTAGATTATGCTTCTCAGATCAGCATTAAATAAAAAGTGTGCTTCACTTCAATAGCAAATATTAATAAATAGACATGAGAGCATTGTAGAAGGGTGTAATGTTTTTTTTTTTTTTTCCAGAGAAAATGCTAATGTAAAAAGAAAAACAAATAACAGTGTTGTAAAAAAACAAGATCTGTTTTTGTGATAACACCTTACTGTGATAAAGGGACAGTTCATCTAAAAAAAATTACTAAACCCACATTTTTTTATATCAAAATGATATTACTTTTTTCTGTTAAACACTAAAGAATATATTTAAAGAATGCTAGAAACAGATACCCATTGACTTACATAGTGTTTCCCCTGCTATAGATAAGCTTACAATGGTACCAGATCTTCTTGTTGTGATTAATTGATGTTTTATCATGGTATGTGGCATTATCACAATACTGACCTTTAGGTGAAAAAGGATTAAAAATTTAGGGTATTGCTTTACTGTATGTGCATGTTTACAGGGAAAATGTTTCAAACTAATTCAAATGCAAAGGGAATGTAAAGTTTAATAAGTAACACTTTAAAATTAAGTCTCATTTTACAATGTTAAAGTTAGTTTAACAAAAAATTATAGTTATTACCTTGATTTAACAAAACTACGATTTTACAACTATGATTTTAACATGTTATTAAGCACTAAGTAATTAATGAATTAATTTATAGTTTTCATCTTGAGTTTAGGTAAATTAACGTGAGCTGCACGATTCTGGCTAAAATGAGAATAAGTTCTCAAACATATGGTAAACAATAATAATAATAATAATAATAATAATAATAATAATAACAATAATAATATCATGCCTATGTAAGGTCTACTGTTGGTTAAAATGCTACATTTTGAATAGACTCTTGGTTGAGTTAAAGAAATAGCTATTCTTAATCATAAAAGTTGAATTATTATGTTTGAGACATATGCTTGCAATCTGTCATTAATAACAATATTAGAACATTTTATTTCACTGGTAAAATCAGACATCTGTCATTATCAGATTCCCACTTCCATCTTACATTCATTTTCTTTTCGGTGTAGTCTCTTTCGGGGTCACCACAGCGGAATGAACCACCAACTTATCCAGCATATGTTATACTCAGTGGATGCCCTTCCAGTTGCAACCCATCTCTGGGAAACATCCATACACACTCATTCACACTCATACACTACAGACAATCTAACCGTTCACCTGTACTGCATGTCTTTGGACTGTGGGGGAAATCGGAGCACCCGGAGGAAACCCACGCGAACACAGGGAGAACAAGCAAACTCCACACAGAACGCCAAATGACCCAGCCGAGGTTCGAACTAGCGACCTTCTTGCAGTGAGGCAACAGCACACCTACTGCCCCACTGCATCGCCCCTCTGGCATTATATTCAACATATGTGCTAGAGTAGCTATACTGACCCAGTAAACATCTATTCTCATGCTCAACACTTTGCGTTCGCTATGAAAGAAAAAACATATCAAAATATTGTTGTAATTCTAGTAATTCTGTTGTAGAAAAGCTGAATTAAGATTGTGTGTATGGTCGAATCGAGATTTTTCGAATAATCATGCAGCCCTAAAATGAACTAGTGGAACTGTATTGCAGTGTTAATGTACAATAGCTGTATAAATAATCTAACAATTTTCAATCAACATTTCTGCATTAATTGTTTCTGTTTGAACTATTAAGCATTTGATGCTGAACACAACTACAAACACAAAGTGTATATTCTTAAAAAGCAGTATTTAATTAAATAATAGATACGTATTTATAGTATTTTGAAGTTTCCACAATTTCAATACTGTGCATGTTCATTATCACGATATACTGAAATATTTAAATATCTCTGTCAAGCTATGGAGGTCAATAGCAGTCTGTTTACATACCAAAAAAAATATATAAATTTTGTATTAAATAGAGTATGTTTTTTGCTCAACCGGAAACAAAAAAACACAAAGGTTTGGAACCATTTGAATGTGAGTGGCTGACAACTGTGTTATTTTTCATAATAAATCAAGCACTGAATAGAGGACCTATATTAACCCAAATCATCTTTGGAGCCCTGTATCAGTCAAAGAGGAGGAAAACAAAGTGTGGCATCAGACTCCAGGTGTCAGGTGTATGAACACCTAAACCTGGAGTGCAATGAGTGAATTATACGTTATAAAATATCAATATAAAAGTCTGGATCTGAGGTAATGATATTTTATTTTTATCCCTTTGATGTTTGTCAGGTGGTATTCTGTTTCTGGGACTTCTTGATTTAAAAATAAAGTTAAATATTTTGAATAATACTTATCACTATACAACCCCAGATTAAACAAAAATTTATGTTTATGAAAAATAATTTTATGTTTCTATGTTTAAGAACCACAAACATTCATTTTATATTTGAAGATTTATTAAAATGCTATGTTTAAACATGAAAATGAGGCCTTATTTCATATTAATTTGCATACATTTCTAGCACAAACATTTCAACATTAGATGAAGTCAGGTTTGAAATTATTAATTCCTTTTTTAACACATCAGAGTCAAAGGTTTTTACAGAGGGCATCCAGTAGATGGAATCACTTTGTATTACTCTACAATTCTGAAAATACTGAGGGAAAAATCTGAGTTTTTTTTAAACTTTCAGAATACAGATATAAATAAAACTTGGTAAAAAAAATGTTTGGTGTTTGAGAAAACTTTCAAGACCTCAAAATAAAAATTGACTCACTATTTATTCTATTACCACATCTTTTTGAATTTCCTTCTTCTGTACACTTGAAAATATTTTAAAGAAAGCTGAAGAAAACTTAAACAATTGAGTTCAATGCTAAGAAAAATACTTTATATGGAATTCAATAGTTTTAGGTTTCCATCATTTTTCAAAATATGTTCTTTTGACTTTAACAGAAGAATAAAAGTCATCAAGGTTTGAACCAAGCAAAGAGTGAGTACAATTACATTTTTGGGTAAACTATCCCTTTAACTGACTTCAAATGTAGGTCCTGTTATTAAATTCTTCACTTAAAAAAAAAATTGATGGATTAGATTTAGTAAAAGGTTTTAAGGTAGGTGTTTGCAAACTATTTATATGGGCAAATAAAAATTAAATTAAGTTGAACATTACAACTTTTATTTGTTTACATTAAGCCCGTACCTTACCTAGCACTTACAGTAACTTAAAAAGGGCAAATTCAATTAATACAATTTTAATGTACGTACGCAAACTGATAAAGTGTGAGAAAATAAACACTAAAAAGTATTTGTTTACATTAGGCTGAGAGAAAAAAAAAACACATTATGAAAAGCCAAAAGGCCAGTTTTTGCCTGCAGTGTCTCGTGCCTCTTGCCTAAACTGGACTGTGAAAGTGCAAAAAAAGCACGCTCTTTGCAAATGTTAGCGCTAATTGTTTTCTTTTCCCCTGTTGTCGCTAAATCTAGCTTTACAGGTTATTAGTTGGCTCAAGGGCAAGCGGTTGTGGAGGGGCACCAGAATCGGGAGGTGGGCACGAGGGGCATCAGGGGCATCAGAGCACTGGGCTCCAGCAGCAGCAGCAGGAGGAGGAGGAGGAGGAGGAGGAGGACGGCAGGTGTCTGATCTCCCCTGAGACTCTGCCTCAACTGTAATTATCTTCATCAGCACTCTGGAGACACCAGCAGTTAAATACCAACACAGACACACACACACACACACTCTCTCTCACACACTCACACACAAACACATGCACTCTCACACACGCACTAGGCATGGGCTGCTATGATTCTGACGATATGATAACCATGGATAAAAGTAGCACAGTTTCACAGTATTATGGTTACTGCTCTTTTTTTTAAACAACATTTTTCCCCACTGTAAACAATATATTTAATTTTAAGAAACATTTAAAATATTTTGGAACAGTAAACATGTCAGACTAAATCAGAAAAATATATCATTGACTTCAGCCATCTTTATTAGTTTAGATTTTTTTACAACTCTAAAAAGCAACTTTGGGTTTGTCTTTGTATATAATGTAAGACACTGCATTGTTCAGGTCTGTAGCTTTTGATGTGGAGATACTGTTGCAATAAAAATTCAATTAAATACCGTAGGAAAGCTATAATAGAACAATTTTGTGGACACACACATATATCCACGTGCACACACACATGCACTCACATACACAGCTAATAAAAATAAAAAAAAATAAAAACACAAATGCAATAGTCTCTGGATGAGCAGATGAATAGATGGAAAATGTTAAATGTGTTATCTTTATTTTGACTCTTATAAATATTATCCTTCAAAGCATGTTCTTTTTTTTCCATATGGGGTAAATATGGAATGTCATAGTAAATTGTTGCGAAAGGTAAAATACATTGTTCCAGGTATGTTTTGTTACACATTCCATATGGCAAATTCACCCGAGGGCACATTTACAGTTGTCAAGCTT